CCAAACATAGTTAAACCACTACAACTCAAAGCAGGAGCTAAAATTTTAAAAGCAGCGCACTGCCAAACACCCTCTTAGGTCATCTCCAATGGGATGCCCAAAGGAGATGCTCAAAGGAGAGAGAAGAAGATGTTTAAAGGTGTCACTATTGGAGATGGGTGCTTAGAAGAGGTGTTCAAAGAAGAAAGAGAGTGAGAGATGCTCAAGAGAGCACCTGATGCTAGCATTCAAAATCATGTGTGCATTCTTTTATTTTTTGTAAAATAAGCTTTTTTTAATAGTACACTCTCTTTTTAATGTTTTTTTTCTTTTCATTTTTGTGTCTCTTTTTTTCCCTGGAAAAAATTTTTACCATTTTTTTATACAAACCCATTTTCCTAAGTTTTTTTTCTTTTCTTTTTCTTAACTTGTAGTGATACCATAAAAAANTAACAATAAAAAAAGTCATTGATAATATTTTTAATTATTTACACTATTTTTTTCTTAAAAATCTTTTAATTAATAATTAATTACTCCATATTTAACACTTGTATATATAATACAAAAATCCATAATTAATAATATAAAAATGGCATTTATATGTGAATAGGATCCACCCAAGGCATCTCAATGAGATGTCACCATTAAAAGGTTTGGATGTTTAAAGAGATGCTCCAATGCTATCTTTAAAATAAAGCCCACATTTGGGCATCTAATTAGAGGTGCTACCACTGTGGATGCTCTTACTCTGATCCCTCCATTTAGAAATATTCTTCCCAATCGATTTTTCTTGGTCAATGTCTATAAACATTGTTAGAAATTTAACGAATCACGTAACACGCTTTCGGATCAAAATTATTTTGGAGTGTATCAAAATACTTTAATCGGATAAGATGTTAATCTAGAAACGTAGTTTTTAAATATAAAATTTTTATAAAAGGTATATTTATGTATAAATATAAATATTCATGGTCAAAATACAATATTAGAGACGGTAAATACTTAAATGGAAAGAATATTTTCAGGCAAAGGGAGTACTTAATTGTCTCAGACACGTACATATGAATTTTTTCCCAGGTAAATAAGCAAGCAAGCAATACTCGGAACAAATAATGGTGGATATATATACATATGAAGATCCCGCTCGTACGTGTGGTTGTATCTAGATAGCGAGCTGAGCTAGCTCTTGTATAATAATAACGTCTATAAATAAATAAATAAATAAATGTGGGATCGATCGATGTATTATAAATTGTGTGAGCTGTTGTATAATTACTGTCTTGTGTTTCTTTTTATTGTAATATAAACAAAATAAAGTCACTTTGTTCATTATTCATTTATTCTCGGTTACAATTACCCAGCTGGTCAGTGCATGCAATAATGCATGTCCTAATAAAGCTTACTATAGAAGAAAATAAAATTATAAACTAGACTTATAAACTAAACCTAAGGCTTTAATGTGACAATTTGCGTAGGTGCTCCAAATCTAAGATGCTCCATAATAATAATAATAAATATAATAATAATAATGATAATAATAATAATAATCACCATCATAATCATAAAAATAATCATAAGAACAACAACAACAACAACAAGAACAACAACAACAACAACAAGAATATAATAATAATAATAATAATAATAATAATAATATAAATAATATAAATAATAATAATAATAACAATAATAATAACAACAACAACAACGAAAGAATATTAAAAGGAAGATACAATTCAAATTAGGAAGCACATCTTAAGATGAAGTACATATATAAGTTAATTTAGTTGGCATAAATCATAGTTAACTTTAAACGGTACAGTTCAGAATAATAAATTTTAAAGTTTTGTTTGGCGATCCTGCCTATTTGATATTAATTCGAGATGAAAAAACAAATCTTATTTTAAAATACATCAAAGGTTTGGTACCATTACATTTCAATATAGTACTCCCTCCGTCCTTGAAAACATTTCTCCTTTCTTTTTTCATCCGTCCCAAAAAACACTTCTCATTTCTATTAAAAAGTCACTTTTACCTCTTACTTTTTCATACCCTACCTATCACATCATACCTTTTTACTAATAATCTATCCATCAAATCATACTTTTACCCATCACATCAAAGGACATTTTTGGAAATTCAATACATACCAAAATACACTCTCTTTAAATCTCTCTTCAAAATCAAAACTCCCATGTTTTCTGGGACGCAAGGAGTACTATAAGATATTCACCAAAACCAAAATAACAAAGCATTTAACAAACTATAGCACCACAAATAAATAAATAGACTATATATTCATTTTAACAAAGAAGTCATACAACTAAATACAAACACACACACACAGATATATATATATATATATATATATATATATATGTATGTATGTATGTATGTATGTATGTATATATATATATTGTTAGAATAAAGGCCCAACGCTAGAGTGGGGGTGAATAGCGTTTAAAACAAAATCGCAGGAAATTAAAAACGAGAGCGATAAAGTGAAGAGCGTAAGGAAGGAGCACACCGAATTTTATCCTGGTTCACCACAACGTGTGGCTAATCCAGCTTCCCGAGAGACTCTCTCGAGCTACACTAACTCCGTTAAGCTTAAGGGTGCTCAACAAACCGATACAACTTGAGAACCCGAGTCACACGAGCCTCAACGCCTTTGCTCGGAGATACCACACTCCAAGACTTCTCACGAAGGAACAAAGAACTTCCTTCGAGTTTACAACAAGGGAACAACCTCCCTTAAAGTGTATATAAACACTTAAACACTCAGGAATAAAACTCTCACAAAGAGTAGATATGAGTGAACTAGTAAACGCTCAAGAACACGACAATTTCTTCAAGAATTGGCTCTCAAATAGCTAAGAAAATTAGGAATGCTTATGCAATGAAAGAGTATTGAAATGTTGAAAAATTGTGTGTAAAATGAGAGATTTGGGTGTCATTTTAAAGCCCAAAATGGGATAAACCCGTTGCTAAAATTTTCAACAGGATGAAGACAAATTTTTCAGAGACACAGGGAGATAGTCGATTGTCAAAGCTTGATAATCGATTATCAAAAGATTCCCTGTCCAAAAATTTAAAATTCTATCCGTTGGAGGACAACGGTAACCCAGACAATCGATTGTCAGTAAGTGATAATCGACTATTAGTCCTCTCAGAAGTTCCTGGGTTTTGGCTGCAGGCTGTGATAATCGATTGTTGCAGAAGTGACAATCGATTATTGCGTGCTTCAGAACTTTAAGTTCAAAAGCTGCAGAGGCTGATAGTCGATTGTCACTAAGGTGATAATCGATTATCACCCAGCTAAGACCCAGCCGGCGAAAACCCGTTTTGAAAAACCGAGGTCCAAAAACGAAGCGTTCCCAAAAGTAAAAACCAAGTTTGAAAAACATTGTATATGGTATAAAATAGTGAAACCAAGACTTGTTTGATAAAAACCAAGTCTTCAAGGTCGTTTATCACGTGTGTACGGTTTTGACCGTTTTTCACATGTTAGACCGATTGACCAAGATACAAAAGTGGTTTTTGCAAAATAATTATTTGGGACTCTTTTAAATATGCCCAGAGGTAAAAACGAGGTTTAAAAGATTGAAAACCACCGAGTTGGTTCGGACGCCGAAAACCGAACGCCGAACCCCGAATGCCGAACACCGACCGGGGTGGTTTAGGGTCTGGACAAGGACCAGGGATTTAATGCAATAAAAGTTTATTTTGATGCACAAAAACATTTTATGATTTTGTAAAATTATTTTGACTCTTTCAGAACCGAGACTTGAATTGATTGTCGGTTTTGATCACAAAACCGACTCGACTACGTCTTCAATTCTTGATCTTGTCCTTGAGTCTTTTGGTCTTGTTCCATGCCATTCTTCACGCCTTGAGTTATTCAACGAAACTCTTCATATCCACGGCGGTTTGGCAATTATCAAAACCTGTCAGAAATGAACACGATTTTAGTTTAACTTCAAAAAGTGTGTTCCAACAATTTCTCCCTTTTTGATAATGGCAAACAAGACGGGGATATGCATAGGGTTTTGATCTTTTTAAAAAAGATTCCCCCTTGATAAAAATTCCCCCTTAATATATGCATAGCCCTTATCTTCCCCCTTTTGACATTAACAAAAAGATTTAACAACAAAAACCATAGAGATTTTTATTTATTAAATAAGGGAAATAGCGGAGTACATAACTGAAGCAAATTTAAAAGGCATAATAAATAAAGAAGAGAAGAGAAAAGAGCTAGAGCTCTAGAAATCTGGTGAAAGATCATCGAGGAGTTGTTCTTCCTCGATGTCTTCCTTTTCCTCTTCATCACCATCATCATCATCATCATCGTCGTCGTCTTCTTCTTCTTCTTCGGCTTCCTCTTCCTCTTCTTCTTCATCTTCGTCATTTACCGCTTCTTCTCTTCCAACGTTGTTAGTCCCACTTGGTTCACCACCGAGGTTTGGCGGAGGAACATAAGGGACCATGTAACGCCCCAAAAACCGGTCTAGTTGTTTTTGATAAAAAGATAATTGTTTGGTGATTGTACCCGTTTAGAATAGAAATTAGAATAATGAAATAATTATATCAGTTAATTAAGATTGACATATTAATTTTGAAAATATCAACGAAAATATTTTTGGAATAAAAATAAAATTAAAACAAAGTTTATTGAGAGAAGTAAGATAATTATAGAATAAACTAAATGTATATATATTTATCTATTTTTAACCGACTAAAAGGGAGGAAACACTAATCTTGTGGTAGCAAATGACACGTGTTGTACCATCATCATCTTAGGATGTTACTTCATAGTTATCAAGTTCATCATTTTTCTTCACAATTAAGAAAGGTAAATATATACTCTATAAATAGTGCTAGAACCTAAGCCCACACCACAAACCTACGTATATACGGAGTATATATATATATATATATACTACTCAACTACTCTATTATAATCCTAGAAAATTTTAAGTAGTGAAATTTGTACTAAATAGGACTAAAACATAATGACTTTCCTAATCTAGGACTTAAACTTTTTTATTCTCTAAATAGGACTTAATAATGACCTTGTGGAAAGAATAATGTCCTGTAATCATGAACATTTAGTTGAATAATGACTACTTGATAATGACCAAAGGTCCTAGATTGGGAAATAAAAACATATGGTCCTATATTGGGAAAGTCATTATGTTTTAGTCCTATTTAGGTAAATTTCTCTTTTAAGTACCTCTAAAGGGTTAACTCAAAGTTGAGTTGGTTGAACATATACAAATTAAGGGTGGTTTGCCGAAGGTATTGCCGGAATTCAGTATCTCACTAACGTCATAGCAATTCGATTCAACGTTAAGGTGAGTGCCGCCACCTGTATAACAATTGTTACTCAATATAATACGTTAATATATGCTATATTTGTTATATATTCAATTGATTTAATTTCCGTCACTAATAATCGGGAACACTGCCGGCTTTTACTTTAAACATGCGTTACGTCCAAATTGTCTAAAATATTTCCCAAAAGGATTATATAAATATTATATAAGAGTATGCGAAGAGAAAAAAAGGTTTTGAAACAAATTCTTGAATATCGTTAAAGAAGGCAACCGGAAAATGGGTCACGATAGCGGCATACAATTTGCACAAATCTTTACGTCCAAACTATTTACATATGTTGTATAAAAAGTATTTTGATGATAAAAAGAAGAAAAATTGGGTTTTGAACGTAAAAACTAAATTACCTCGTCAGAGAAGATGATCGAAAACGATCAACTCCGTTGACGAGACTTTTTCAATATTCTACACCTAAAACTATTTCTTTACATTTTAAGGAAGTTTTTAATAAGTTTTTAGTAAGAAAATAAAGATAGCCTTGAAGCAAATATAAAATACTCTATGTATTATTTTACGTATATAGAGTAAATATGATATGTGTTAAATTTGAAATATGGATTCAAAGAAGTTAATGAGACACATACAGATACAAATTATATTTTCTAAAATCATCAAACGATTTCTAGTATGTGAACTACGGTTCACAAGGTTCCACAGGGTTAACCAGTACCCCTCCATTGCCGTACGTACAAGCTCGTCATAATGGACTCGTCTTGTACCCAAAGTACTTGAAGTCCCAGAAAAAGATAACGGACTCGTCTTGTACCCAAAGTACTTAAAGTCCTAGAAAAAGATAACGGACTCGTCTTGTACCCAAAGTACTTGAAGTCCCAAAAAGAGATAATGAACTCGTCTTGTACTCGAAGTACTTGAAGTCCTAGTTAAACAAAGAGTAAAAGAAAAGTTGATTTTCTTGATACTACAGTTTTATACAATAATATGTTTATATTATCAAAGTAAAGAATTTTGAGAAAAGTATATGTTTACGCTATTACATTTCGTACCTATTGTTATAATTGGTACCACTCAGCTTTTGCTGATCGAGTTGTCTCCATTTTTTTAGGTACACAAACAGAATAGTGACCAAACCGGAGGACAATGCTAAGGCGATGGAAAGATGGATGAGATGACATAAAGAACGATAACAATAATAAAGATGTTATTTTGAAATATATATTTTGTACGAATATGTTAAGCTTCCGCATGTATAATAGTTACTCTGATATTATCAATAAATAAATAAGTTTTGTTTAATGCTCCATTTTGCGATTCAAAAAGTTACACATGTTAACACCGCGAGTCGGATATTCGAATAAATTTGGGTATCCGGGTCGTGGCGTTACAGACCATTTGAGCGTAAAGGTAGTTGACAAAGTCAAAATACCCGTGAAGCTCACGGCGCAAAATATTGACATTTTGGGCCGTTTGGGAGACGTTGGTGTCAATCCGAGAAAGATTGGCGGTCAAGGCTGCCATTTGCTCGGCGAGAGAAGGGTTGGTCGAAGCGGTGGCCCTTGGTTGGCGGCGAGGACGAGGCTGTCAAAACGAAGTTTCGTCGGTGCCCGAGTGGAAGGAGGATTCATCAATCTCCCAATGCTTTGTCCCTTTATCTTTGGCCCAACATCGGTTTTGATGTTATACTCATCAAGAATCGCCATGACGAGGAGGGCGTAGGGGAGCGGCCGATTGTCGGAGGTGGCGCTAAACATGTGAGTCATCACAAATTTTCACCAATTAATGTTGGCGTTGTGAATCATCGCATGAAGCATTTTGGTGTGTGTGTGTGTCTATATATATATATATATATATATATATATGTATGTATGTATATATATATATATATATATATATATATATATATATATATATATATAAAACTTAAACTAATTCATCAAGAAAATCACCTACCCAAAACTCTCTAACCTCCTCCAATTCGGCAATCGTATACGATGAAGTAGAATGAAACACCTACAATACAAACAAAAACATACAACAATAAATTTCAATAGTCTATAATAAAGAACAAGAACACTTTAGTTACAATAACACACTAAAACGAACTTACATCGTGTAATAGTATGGAACACTGAGCATACAAAGTGACGATGAGCCATACAAATCGCATAACATAATATTCACACTCACTCCCCCGGGTTATTGTGGTACCCCGGGAACATCAATCTAATTTGGTCGAGCCTTAAGCTGAAGCATATTCCTCTCCCGAAGTAACCGCCAAGACCTTTATTCAAAATTTAAAAAACGAATCAATAAGGATGTTAAACCCGACACTAGGCCGCTAAATGTTAAATATGTATGTTTATGAACTTTACTATGATTATGTATGAACTTGAATCCAGATAGGCTACCTAGCTGAACTATAGGTAGACCGAGAAACATAATAAGAATACAGTTAGGAGTTACTGGTGATGTGATGAGCCAGCGTGAACGAATGATCAGTTATGTAAAGCGTGCGCATGGGTGTCTAAGATCTACTCATGGATGTAAGTAGGTGATCCCACCCAACCAACGTTGGATGACAATGTCTCTTGCAAGTTCCTCCATGTATGTGGTTGAACTAGGACTCCATGAAGAATAAAGAATTGGCCTTAGCCTAGAATAAGTTATGAGCTTAGAATTAAGAAAGATTGGTTATGGACTTTGAAGGTAAGAAGGTTTAATTTCTGAATTGTTGATATTGATATCAATTGATGTTGTTATGTGATATTACTGGTTCATGAAATGTTATGAATGATTATGTATGCTGAAATAATCCTATGTGTGACTTCTATTGTTAGAACCTCTCACTCAGCATGAGAGCGGAGCATGTATTTTGTTTTATTTCCTACACCTACACGTAGGTAATAAGAATGACGAATAAGGAACTAATCTTAGGGGGCAACGAGGATGAAGAGATGGATGGATTCTTGCAGAAGAAGTTTATTTTATTTAATATTTTGATTTATGTACTTAAGCTTCCGTATCGTTTTGTTAACTCCGATGGATGTTTTAAATAATATTTTGAATTAATTGTTTTAAATTGTTTTGAAAATATGATGTGTTGAAGAAAATTTTTTAATCATTTTTTAAGATTATATTATTTTTATTTTATTTTTTCCTAACCTAAATTATCAGATATCTTATTTTCAAAAGAAAAATATAGCAGAAGGCCAAAAATGCAATTCAAGTTTATAAAGAAGATATTGATTTCGGGCTAAAGCCCAAACTCATCACTAAATAAAAAGAAGATCAGCCCAATATAACACTCCTCCCCCCCTTTAGTTTCACGCAAGAAAAGGAAAAAAAGAAGTGAGAAGAGCAGCGGCTTCTTCTTCTTCATCGCGCAACAGGCGGAAGACCAAATCAGTGCAACCCTCAAACGTTCGCGACAATTAATCATCCAACGAGAAGAATTTCAACGGGACATCTTCTTGCTATAAATTGAAGGCAAATTGCACAATTCACTAGGGGGGATTCACACAGAAAACTCAAAGAGCAGCGGCTTGGCCGCTGCAATGTCGGCGACCGGCGAGGCTGGCCGGCGTTCGACGATGGCTGGGGAGCTGTAATCCTTCAATTTCTTATCATCTTCTTCCTTTAATTGGAAACCCTATATTTGTCAATTTCTTTTTCTTCCCCAATTTCTTTGTAAAAGTGTTTTTCAATTCAAATTTACACTTTTTTTTCTTGTTTGTGTTAATTTCGAAAATTCCAAAAATGGTTGGTGTTCTTTTATGGGTATTTTTTAATGTTTATATTAAATCTCATATGAATGAGAATTGATTACGTAAGAAATGAATTTAACAGTCCATAGAAATCCTATACTAATTTTTTTCAATTTTTGAGCAAGTTGTTGAATTAGTTTAATCACATGATTTGATTTCAAAAGAAGGTTGGTATGTAGAATTCGGTTTTTGATTGAAGCTATTTTAGCTCCATATTATAGTTAAATGATTTCCGAATTCATAAGTGCTTCTTTGTCGTGCTATGTGTTTTGTAAAATTTTAAGGTTTATGGACTTCTTAGCTCCATGAATTGGACATTTTCCTTAGGATTCGTTATTGAGTGATTTTTTTATGTTTTTGTTTAATCAATCCATAGAAATCCTATACTAAGTTTCTTCAATTTTTGAGCAAGTTGTTGTTAATTAGTTGAATCACATGATTTGATTTCATAATAAGGTTGATATGTGGAATTCAGTTTCTGATTGAAGCTATTTTAGCTTCATATTAAAGTTAAGTGATTTCCGAATTCATAAGTGCTTCTTTGTTGTGCTATGTGTTTTGTAAAATTTTAAGGTTTATGGACTTCTTAGCCCCATGAATTGGACATTTTCCTTAGGATTCGTTATTGATTGATTTTTTTATGTTTTCGTGTGCTTTTTGTTATTTTCATAATAATGATTAACATTGTTTAAGCTCAAAAGCAACTCTTGATTTAATGAAAATATGAAATGTTTTCTAATGTGAATAGACTAAAATTTTTATGCTTGAGTTGTTCAAGGAGACCTGCAAAATATTTTCATCATTAGACGTTAAAGTTATTAAAGTGTGTAAAATGTTCTTTGTGGATAAATTATACATGAGAGTTAGAATGAAAGAAAGATCCACTTTTTTATAAATTTTTTCATCTTTTGGAATTATTGTTTGAGCGCCTGAGGTGAGTTGTTCAAAGGGATCCTAAAGGCCTTTGAATTACATGACTCCGGGCCTTATAGAGAGTTGACGATCCTCTATATGTGGTCAAGGATATGATTCAACTTGAGCCTTTGAATTATCTTCTGTTCTTAAGTGTGTAAGTTAAGTAATATATTGTCTACGTGCCTCTTATACGTGTAATGTTCGACTTGTGTTTGTTCTCTTTTTCATTTTGTTTTGGGTTCTCGGCGGTGTTTCTTGGGTTACCTTAGTTGGTGAAGTTGATTATTTTTTGAGCTTGTTTTCCCCCATTTTATAAAAAAAAACCAAAAAAATTAAGAAAAATAAAAAACCTAAAAAATATTTACTTTTCATCCGACACCCCCCTGTTGTTATGTTTAAGTTATAGTATACGTTTTCAATTTTTATTTACTAAGTTTATAAATAAGTGTTTGTTTATAAGCTATAAATACAAGTTTTTATACTTTATTTACTTTTATATACTGAAGTATTTGTTATGAGTTTTTAAGTTATATTATAAGTTCTTTGTTTATATAAGTTATATTTATAAGTTTTTATATTTATTTAATTAAAAGTTTTATAAGTGTTATCATATGTTTAGTAGTTAGTTTGTTTTAGTTAGTGACAATGTGTGTGCATGCTCAGTGGCGGAGGCAGAGAATAGTTTATGGGGGGCACAGATTTATCTAAAAAACAACAAAAAAATTTCATAATAGTAAACATACCTTTTATTTGCAGTAAGAGTTGTTTTAGGCCGTAGAAAATTCTTCCAAGATGCCAACTTTTAAAAATTAACAAACAAATCTCTAAATTGAATAATTGGAAATTGAATATACCTGAATAATGAGAACCTCTTTACCTGTGATCTGTGAAGAACAAGAATTGAAGAAGTAATCCAGAAGTGAAGGAGAGAAACTGTGAAGAAGACAAAGAAGAAGAAGAAGAAGAAAAGTCCCTAGGGTTCACCGTTAGCTTTGTTTTTGCCGCAAAGGATGTGGAATTGGGGATTGGGGAAGATGAGATAATTTAGAGATTAAGTTTATTTTTTTAAAGAGTAGAGACGGAAAAAAAAGGAATTGGGTCCAGGTACTGTTTGGTCAAAGTACTAAACATTAAAAAAAACCTACCAAACGACGTCGTTTATGCTTCAATTTTTTTTTCCCGGAAATCACTTCTTGGTCTTCTTCTTCGCTGAACAGAGCAGCCACAGAGCACCGCTACTTGCCGGAAAAATTGGGGGGCACATCAAGCCTCCCATCGGAGAAGGGGTACCCTAATAGTACTTCGCCGGAAAATCGCCGGGGGCACTTGCCCAGGCAGCCCCCCCCTCTCCTCCGCCCCTGAATACATTTTACCCCCTCCATTTCATCTTCATCCAGGTATAAGATTGAAATATATTTTACACCCCTCAGTTTAGTATTATCTTCTTTTGTAGCATCTAAAGAAAAGTGTTTGAATATAACCAATAGCTTCTTTGCATGTGTTATCCAGATTTAGGTCTCAATATATCAAAGATATAACTTGTAATTGTAGACAATATAAGGCAAAGTCTATAAGACACCAGATCTTCCTGGTAGGAATTAGCATTCAGAATTCTTTGGAGACGAATGTAAGGAAGTTTAGCACACATTTCAATTAAAGATATCATGTACATCACTAAAGAGATTATGAACAAAAGAAAACCACATGATCCAAAAATGGAGTATGTATAAATCTAAAAATTATTTAAATTATAAGACATACACTACCTTGTTTATACTCCCTCCGTCCCCAATTAGATTATAATATTTTTTCTCTCTTCTCGATAACTTTTGTTTGTTTACGCGATTTCATTAAGTATTTGATAAAATAAAATATTCTTATCAGCTCTTGTTTTGTAGAACTTTTCACGTAGTTTTTTAATACTCCGTATGTAATTTTTATTTCTTATCGTTATACCGATTTGTAAATAAAATGATTTCAAAAAGTAAAATATTTCTTCGCATAAACCCCAATTTGTAATCAATTGGGGACGGAGGGAGTATTTGATTGTCTAGAAATTCGGACTTTCCACAATAATTATTCTTGACAATTACGTCATACAGCCTATATATATGAACTTTTAAGAGAATAGAATTAAGAAATAGGAAGAGAATTATTGAAATTCTTTTAGCTTATGGGTTTACTTGTTTGTACGCGGATTTTATTGTGCTTTGTAGCAGATACTCCCTCTGATATATATACATATATATACGTGTGTATATATATATATATATACTCCCTCCGTCCCAAAATATTTGCAACATTAGTTTTTTCAACAGTCGTGGGAACTTTTGTTTATTTCTACGTTTTCATTGGTTATTTGATAAAATAAAATATTCTTGACACCTCTTATTTTGAAGAACTTTTCATGTAGTTTTTTGATATATAAATTTTATTTTTTATTTCTAAACCGATATGTAAATAAAATGAATTGAAAAAACTTGATATTTTGCCTCGGGAATACAAATGTGGCAAATATTTAGGGACGGAGGGAATATATATATATATAGGGGCTGGTTCCTGTGAGAATGAGTTTTGGTGAAAGAAATGAGAATGATTATGAAGCATTGATTTGTTTCATCTCACGGTCAGGAGATGTTAGAAAAGGCACGTGTTGGAAGTTATAATTAGGAAAGTAATGATTGATTGCTTTTTTATTAATTAAAATCTATAGTGCTAGGGGTATTAGTGGAAGAATGAAAATCGTGCTTGAATTCCTTTATAACTATACACCTATATTTGCGCAG